AACAGTTGCGTCAACCATTTTACTGCCAAGTCCTTACCTGCCACCTGGATTTACACAATAAATCTGCTGTAATTAGTGACGCTGTACGGAAGCAACGTAAGCAAGAGCAAACGCAAGAACTCTACCAAATCGAGTTTTAACGTAACTTACCCATACCACCATCCTCAATAACCCGTCCAGGAAGCTGTTACACTCTTATCCTAATCCCATCAACGGAATGTCCCCACTCCCAACCTCACTCCCTCCGGTCAACTCGCTCATACTAGCCAGTTAACATTAACAATGAGCTAAAAAATGCACTTACGAATAAACGCACCCATAAAAACAAAAATAAATAGCACTCTACTTCGCCGGTATCATGTACAACGGCAAGACTACAAACAATCAATGGCCTTGTGAACTTTATTGAAAACCAATCTAACCACAATCAGCAGTAAAGGACGCAATTGACTGAGTAAACACCGAGCATTCAGAACAAGACAAAAGAAAAAACCAAATCGACAAAATTGCCGAAGTAGCTGAAGCTTCAAGAAATTTTTACTATCAAACGCTAACTATCCGTGGGGAACTAGACGTCTTTTAACCAGGCAAGCATCGCATATCGCAATTTGGGATTAAAGCCAGGTCATCTGCTTGAATGAAAAGCAAAAAAATTTGACTTAAATCTTCACGCCTTGTCACCTCAGAAGTTACTGCTTGATAAACATAATAAAGGAATACGAAAGATTAAAGGAAAGAAAAGAATCCGAAACTAATCCATCTACTAAAGAAATAAAATTGAGAGTACTCGAGGGTCAAGACAGGATGTCATATCCCCAAGCTTAACGAGTGCAGACACGTTACGAAAAAGAAGGGTAACCCATAAACTAAACTCAAATCGCACACATACTCTTTATAACATCGCGAAAAGGGAATCACAAATCAATTTTATACAAAAACAAACTTAAAACTTTCCTCTCTTGAAGTCGATCACAGCATCCCTAAAACAACTGAAACGCTTTTAGTTACCCCAACATAGACTGTGCAAAATCAAAAGAGTGAAAACTTTAATTTCTGCTATCTACATCACAACATTTATCACAGAATACTAAAACAGCTTGTTACAAACTTAGCTAAAAAAATAAAAATATATGAGCATAAATCAATTCATCCGAAGTTTAAAACAGCCGCAAAGTTGCGATAAAAGACATGTGGAATGAAAGATACAAGTCAGGAGAGAAATTATGAGGACCGAACAATACAGAAAAAAATTGAAAAACCTGCACACTGTAGAAGTACAACAGATGTGCTGCAGGATGGCTAAAAACTGCAAAACGAGAACTATTTAGCCACCCTGAATACCAAACCACTTCACTACTCGTTACCAAATCCCTCAGTTTCTTCAATCGCTCGGTTCAATTTCTCTGCCAGTTGCTCGTATGACCGATAAGGAGGAAGGTCAAGGCGATTAAAACAAGTATGTGAACGAGGTAACCAATTTTCTTTACCAACTCTTTCAATACAAAATAGTTGAGGTCCCGTAGAACCTATTAGTTCAGAAAAACCTCCTACAGGAACTCTACAAGTACCGGTCACAAACTGCAACAAACGAGCTCTCTTCTCCTGGTCCAAAGATCGCACAAACTGCCAAAACCAAATAACCTAAATTGGATCAAACTCGGTCATGGACGGGAGCAAAATGCAAGAAATAACAGAAGCAATTTGCAATGAGATACGAGAAAGTGAGCGTTATAAAAAACTAGAAACTGTAGCAGTCATATCTTAACCTGTTTGCTCTGAGGAGCATAATGACGATAAACAGTGTTTCTCTGCCAGTCTTCAACATCCACATCTTGCATACCACAAAGGAGAAGTTCAAGCTCACGTTCATCAAAGTATTGTAACCATTCTAGTGGGAAAACAGCATTGAAACCAGTAAAGAATGCTCTGGTCTGTTGCTCAATACCTCTATTAAAGCGCCATTCCACTAACAGTTCCATGTATTCTTCTTTATTTGCTTCGGTCACTTTCTGAAGAGTCAATGATAAATAAATACCAAGTGAAAATAAATAAAGAAAGAAAAAAATTGAGTTGAAGGTAACTCACTATTTCTGCTCCACCTTCCTTCAGTTCATGAGTACGGACTTCACCAAGTAACTCATAATCAGCAACAAAATACAGTTCCATATCGCATTCATCAATGTTATTTTCTTTTATCCACATTACACTGTTATAAAATTCAGAATCCACACTTTCGAGATCTTTCAAAGTTAGCTTTTTATTCAGCATCTTTTTATAGAATGGCATTGTGAACCCACTATATATGAACTTCCCGTGGAATAATGCCTGAAACACAAGTAAGCTGTAAATAACTCTACACTAATAAGTCCAGGTACTGTTGAAAAAGATCTCCTCTTACCATCGCAATGAAACGCCCTATATACTCAAAATATTTCAAATGGTCAGGATTGATGAAAGACGCCGGATTGATTTGTAAACTATAATTATTATTACCCGCATACATGAATAAACAATACATTGGATTCAGCACTTCGTGCGACAGCAAAAAGAACCATTCTCTGAAAAGTAGTTGTTTCAAAACGAAGTAAAATGCGATCTTCTAACCGTACTCATTCAATTACTATAATTAAAAGAACTTTACCTTGCAACGCCGCCATAATCAAGCCCTTCCTCACCTCTGAACTGGATGTACAATCTCCTTCGCAAATCAACAGCGTTTTTACGCATTATCTAAAACAATGGAAAAATGTCCCATTTTCGTATTACCATTACTTTAAAGTTTGCAAATAACAAATGAAACAGTTCAGTACCACAAAAAATTACTCATTTTTTCCTCGTAATACACATATGAAAACTATCCTTGAACAAAATCTAAACTTTTCATCCGGACTAACCTCTTGGAATGAATCCTCAAAAAGATTGTTTCGTGACACAGTGATCTTTACATGATTGGGGACACTATTTGACTGAAAATAAATTTTAAACATCAAATCTGATTTAACAAAAGTTAACTGCACTTCCTGGAATGTAAAACTGAAGCAAAGACAATAATAACTGTATCGAGTTTAAGAGGCCAGTAGGTTGAACGAAATTCGTCGTAAATTGTTAAATTCCTAACTCACCAATACATTTTAGTGAGATTCTTTTGGCGCCTCTCTTACTCTGCAAAATGGGAAACGGTTGCCGCAAAGTTTCCCACCTTTTGCAATTAGCCTAAGGAGAGTTGGGCTAAACATATCAGCTTAGATTTTGAAAATGATCAAACTATACCCTCAAAAAATGCTGTAACTTCTAGCCTGATGTTAACAGCAAAAATCCAAACAAAATTATTTATAGTATTTCATGAGCTATTTCCATCACATTCAGAATAAATTATATTTCTGAGCAAATACTTTCATTTGCTTTTCCTTTCTATTTCTAATGCACCTTTAACCTGTGTTTTTCCAATGCTACTTTCCAGAGCGTACTCTTGAGACATACTCACTTTTGTAGAAAGCCATCTTCGGTGTTCGTGTAGAACAGTAACTTTCTTTCAACGAAAAGGAATTTTTCAGAGCACAGTTAATTAGAAATTGCTAAGACCTCGAATCGAGAGCAAAGCGGAAAAAATTCAAGAAAATAAAAAGTTCAAGCACGATGAAATTCACCGCAATAAATTCTGGAACTGATAATTGCACCAAGACTTCTTCGTCTCAATAATGTTACCTAAATGGTACTAGCAGCCAGCGCAACTATTCATAAAATTACTGTGCAAATAATAGTAAATTTTTGTAACAAAAGTTCAGATCATTACTATAACTGAGAATAAACATTGGGTAGCAGGAAAGGATTTTTTAAATCATTTGAACGATATAACGCACTCAAAATAGAAAACTGAAAAAAAGAAGAAAGAAAGAGAAGTAAATCTCCTCCACTAAACATCTATAAAACCAAATTTTCATTGCAAGACTGAGAAACAGGAAAAAACAGCAAAAAAATATTTCGCACGTCCGTAAAAACTACTGCTTTTCTTCCAAATATCTTCCCCCTACTGCGGATCTGGACCCTCAAGCAGAAACATCCGCCTGGACAACAACTCTCTCTTTCCGTCTCTTCAGAAAACCTCCGTTAAAAATCTTGCTAAGTACTTGCTAAATACCTACACACGTAAGCAGTTGTTTAAAGTAGAAAGGTTCGTCTAACCTCTCATTCTCCACCTACTTTACTGTTTTCAAGAAGACCTGAAGAAAATACGTGGCGATGAGAAACCCCAGATGAAGTTTACTTAGCTAAATAAAAACTTAACAATTTAAATATACTTTTTGAACTGAAAACCAAAGCCAAAACAAGTATTCGTTTTGCTTAATGCGATTGCTGGCCTCAAATAGCTCGAATTCAGACTGATAATATGCACAAGTCAGCAAAATAGGAATGGTATTAGAACAGTATTGAGCAGATAAAATGTGAATCTATGGGAAACAATGACAAAAAGTCCTTACTTCGGAAGTTTTTCATAAAGTTGCAGAATATCATCCCAACTCTTCACTAGTTTTATCAAAACTAACAGCCCCAACCAACCGAATAAAGACCCGTTCTACATCAAATTGTCTTACAAAGAGCCGTACACTGTTGTAAAACCCACATTTTTTGGAACAGATTTCATTCGCAGCACAAGCAGCTTTTAAACTAAAATAGATACCAAGTCTAACACACGGACGTCGCCATCTTATATTTTCTGTACTAAGCAAAGTACTGAAGGTCGCAAATAAGAAGTAAAAAAAAAAAACAGATGAACAATTCATTATCTTTCAAGTAACAGGCAAATATGCAATAACTGTGAAATCTTAAAAAGTAAGTACCGCAAGGAGCCATGAGTGAAATAAACCCTAGCTAATCCTCGTAATTTTTTCCAAACTATAAATAATTAAAATCAAATAGTTTACACAAATTAAGTTTGAGTCTTTCCCCATATAGCCTAATAAGTGAAAAAACGTCGTTTTCAAGCAAATATAACATGCTTTGCAGACACCTGATCTTCACTTAAAAAAACCGAATTATTACACACTATACCCCTTACACCTCTCCACTAACCTCTCTATTATTTTATTCTTTTTACAAAACCCGAAGAGATTCTTCGAAAATAAAAGCAGTACCTGATCCCCTGCGTACGCTTCAGTAAGTGATAATGATTATAAAATCAAAAAACTGATAATAACAGTACCAAACATAAGTAGCGGAACTGCGCAATTTTCCAACGGAATGTTCTTTCAAAACTCATTGGCACACCATGCACACCCATTGGACCAACCGGTTTCCCAGTACGTGGATCGTTATAAGTAGTAGATTTCGTGTTATGATCAACAAAGAAAGGCACACCTTGCTCAGTAAAGCGCATTTCCCAACCTTCCGGTAAAGGATCATCCGTTATGCTAAAGTACCGCATAATTTCACTTATTCACGAAAATCAAGAAATTGTATCAAAAGTGCTGCAAAACGGAAACTTCCTTCTAGCCCGTTATATTAACACGTAAATATTTCTACAATGTTAAATACCCTTGCGTTCGCGGATCTTCCCACTGCGTAGTACGGTTAATGTGATTTACAAAATAGACGCGTAAAGTATTTGGATCAGCACGTTTCTCCCATCCATTCGGCAGTGGACCGAGTGGATCATCACTAGGTATCATGGTATTGGACTAAAATAAACAAAACAGTAGGAGCAGTAGAATGCAACTCAGAACCAATCTACAAATAAACACTGTATACTAATTTACTTGTAGTAAATAACGTTGTTCCCACTGTTGCATAGCCTGATCCCTGTTTGACTGCCACTGTTCATGAGCCTCTAACATATCTGCTGTAGGTCTCTGCCAAGTGGTCGTCCTTGTGTTATGGTCAACATAATAAACACGACCTCGCGGGTCTCGACGCATTTCCCATCTATAATTGAAGACTAAGCTTTAAAAAAAAGCTGATTTAAAACCTTACTGTAGCCTCTTTTCAAACAGCAATGTTTTGCAGTTAAATATTTAGTTGAATGACTTCGCACATAACAAACTCAACT